TTTTTTGTGGTGAGTGCAATGTGGGATGAGCAGTCCCCTTTCCTCCGCCTGCCCAGCCTTACGCACGTTCTAATTAGATCCTGCAGGTACGCAGCCGCGATCTGCCTTGTGTCAACCTTCACAAAAACGAGGTTAGCGAATCGACGCGGCCCTCAATTGCGCTCATTAGGGCGAGCGCACCTACGCGCAGTAACAGGGTTACTCTGAGAAGCAGGAGCCCCCCGGTCCTGGCAACGGCCTCTATTCAATTTTATTGACATTTGTTTCTGGAGGAGCAGCCGACTGACGTCAGCCAGGCCTGGGCGGCAGGGCCGCGGGCTTAGCTGGCAGCTGGCGGGCAGGGTGCAGCGGAGCTTGGCTTCGCTTGCTTTTAATGCGGGTTTCTGGGAAGCATGGGGGCTGGGGAGCATGTGCTGAACGGGGGAGAAGTGGCGAGAGCAAACACAGGGAGGGAAGGGGTAAGGTCTTTCAGGAAGCAGAAGGATGGAATGAAGCTCACAGCTCTCTTAGGACATGAGGTAAAGCAGAGCACGCTCTCCCCACCTGAGGCTATCTCTTGAGGACGTTTGCCATCACGTTAGGAGGCTCCATGGGGACACTCACTGCCCCTTGGGGATGCTCGCTTTCCCTGCAGAAACTCCAGGACAAACTGAGGGTCTCGATAAGCTTTCAGGACTCCATCTCTGGTCTTCCCAGCTCTGAAGCCACATACAGCTTTTGCTATAGCTTGCACAAAGCTCATGCTTCCTTCTGGTGCCTTCCCTACCAGGCTCTGGATGAAGTCTGCTGTATCTATCACCAGAGGGTGCTTTCAGGCCCCTGCTAGAGAGTGGCAGCCTGAGTTGCCTTACTCTGAAAAGGTGATAGCTTGAAGCTGCCTGGTTCAGCCTAGCCCTGAAGGTGCATTGCAGTCAAATGCTCCTCTGCAGGTGGCAAAGCATGAAAACCGATTTCTCCTCCTGACAGTGTACCAAGGAGGTAAGGGACTGCTCACATAGACCCAGGGGAACTGCACTTGTCATCCAAACTAGTAGCCTGATGGCACAGGAGGAGCAAGAGCAACAGACAAAGGATACCCCAAAGGTGCTGAGGTCTGTCCCATGGGCATCATCAGCCCCGGAGGAGAGCTGCAGCCAGAAACGCCAGGACCTCATCCTGGCCTGCAGTTGGAGGACTGCTTCCTCTTGTCCCTCCTACCTAAGCGTGGGGTACCTCTGACTGAGAGGAAATTCCCAGGTGTACCTCCTTCCTTCCCTTGGTGCTACTGCTGCTTTGCTGACAAAAGCGCAACTTCCTTCCCTCCTGCTGGGAGATAACACAAAGTAGCAAGTCCATCTCTGACACGACTGCCTCTGCTTCAGATACTCCGCCATGGTGGTCACGCCAAGTCACTGAGCTGTGAAAAGTCAGGATGTGGAAGCGTGAAGCACTCGCCAGGCCCACTCTGAGGGCTGGAGGGGCCAGGGATGGCAGAGTGACCTCGGACAGGCGTCTACCACCACATGCTCGGCTTCCCACTCTTCCCGCACTTGCCAACCACTCCCCAGGATCTCAACGCCCCTCTGTGCCCTAAGGCAGTTGTATCTTTCATTTACAAGTATCCAAATTGTATTGTTTCCCTGTGAGTCAGCCCATTTAGTTTATGTCCTTCAGTGCCAGAGGGGAAATTTATGAGATGAGAAACTGGCTTGAAACGTTTATTTTCTAGATGACGAGTCATGCCATTAGATATATAGCATTATGAATCATAGGAACAGCATCTAATTTGCTCTTAAAGGTATAATAGGTCTGACTCCCCACACCCACACCCACACATATATTGGATTGATAGCTCCCCCACAGGATGGCTAGTTCATTTGTTTTGACACGAGCAAGACTTACAGGACTATAAAGTCCCATCTTACCATAAGTAAAGCCTATTCATAAAAACAAATATTAGGGAAATGAATGATCAGCTAAGCACATATACCCTACACTCGACTGCATATGGATCTTTCTCCCGTTGTTATTTGTGCTCAGGGGGAGGCCAGTTGGCCCCATTTTACAGCTTAGGTGCTCAGCAACAGAACATTTCCTCTCTGTCCTCTGTTAGACCTGGCTGATAGAGGGAGAAGCATTAAGTTATTTTTGACTGTGGGTTTTCTGTTGACATCCCCAGAGAGGAAGGTTGTAGGACATGAAGGAACCTTTCAGATCAGCAGCTGCAGGACTCAGCACGCACCATGGAGCCTGTCATTTCCAGATAGGATATGGGAAAAGGTGGTGTTGGGTGCTTCTCTGTGTTTGAACATCTGGTCTTCCCCGTGGTCGACAGAAACGAGAAAATCTGACCCAACTATTTCCTTGGATGAAGGTTTCTTTGTGGTTGATATGCACCTCAGTTTCTGGAAAAATTAAAAAAGGAAGTACAGGGGAAAAAAAAAAAGAAAAGACCAAGCATGCTGGACATAGCTGTGCATTTTTGCAGGGATCTGCTGCAGATATCTGAGATGAAATAAAAGCTAGCAATTTGGTACGCTTTGGTTTTTGCACTTGTTTTCCCCCCCCCCCACACACACACACTTTTTTGTAATGTATTTTTTCAGAGATCGGTTTCTTGGCTAATTTAAAATAAACAGGAAAAAAAATATAGCATTCCCCTTGCTTAAGCCAGGAGGAATGGTTCAAAATCAGCATGCTTCTTGCAACAAAGAGGGGCTTCCAGCTCCCAGCAGAATCTGCTCTACATCTCAGAGCAGGATGCCCATTGAGACTAGCCATCCTCGAGGCCTGTCCTCAGCCCTACAGCTGGGTACCAGCTCAGATGCGTCTCCTCTTTCTCAGCCTCCCCTAGTAAAAAGGGTGTAAAAGGGGCATATTCTGTCGTGGAGGCGTGTTAATCTCACGGACTAGTAGAAACCTTTGGCGTCTCTGCTTCCTGGTCTCTG